TAACAAATTTTAATATATGTGTGTATGCGTACGCGCTTGTGCGTGTGTGTGTGCGCGCGTGCGTGCCTGCGTGTGTAAACTACTCCGAAATCATCAAGAGAAGTAAACTGTATGGTTTCGTCCTCTTCGTATGTTGTCGACTGAAAATATTATGTCATAATAGATAAAGGGGGCAGTGTAACTTTTGCAGGGAGGAATACACTGAGGATTTAATGCCGTTTAACCATGGAATGAATGATGGGAACAGAAAGATTTAATAATTTTATTTTGAATGTGAACGTTTTTATCAAACTAAACTAGTAAGTGTCTACCGGAAGTATGTGAATTTTGAATAAACATCAGCAGCACGGTGAAACTTTTTGTAACATATAGGTGATGTTTATTTATATTATTTATTCCTCGACTATTGTCTTAATCTATGTTGATGTTATCTGGCTTTCAACAAATACTTGTCGATCTATGTAACCTTTATAGAATTTATACGAAATTGACCCTTTATTTTATCTATGTCTACAGACAATTACTAGTGATATATTTCCAAGCTTTTATTCTATACTCCTCGCCCCATTTCCATGAGTCCAAATCTATTGAACTTAAATTTACTATGTCACCAAATTTTCGGACCAACGGACATTTCTGAGTGAAGAACATTTTTGCATAAAATCTGAATATTCTGTCTTTTTTTCAATATTTCTCCCAATTTAGCCAAACTACCAATACAACTAGATGAAAATTCCCCCCACACACACTTAGCATAATGCCGCTTGACATTTGGGACAGTGTTCTTTGGATTGGAAGCTTAACTTTTTTTGCCTAGCAAAAGAAATATCCGCGCCCAAGAGTTCTAATTTTTGTTTCATCTGAGTAAATAACTGATGTCACAAAACTTGAATTATTATGAATATGGGGTTTGGCAAAATCTAGACAAGCATCTATGACACTCGATTGGGTCATTGGAGTCTTGTTCGGTCAATTTCCATGGGGACCGCGTTTATGCAAGGTTTGCTAGTGTGTCTCTCAAGAGATTTTTATCTAGAGTAAATCAGAACATCTAAAATATCATTAGTAATGATACTCGGATTGTTCTTAATATCTCTGAGGACTTTTCTTGTTTGGGGTTTCTTTCTTCTATCCTTCGTGGCATGAGTGTGAATATTCATAACTGAATTTTAACTGTCTATATCTCTGAGATGAAGTATTATGATTATTTACATTATTTACATTATTCGGACTGTTATCCTCATCTTTATTGCCATAAGCCCTAAAAATTCATAGTCAAATGTCCTCAAGACGCTGGTTAGATCCTATTACTACACCCAGAGTTGTAAATTCAATACCAGGCTACAGCAGTAGTGAACTAAAAACCTGGAAGAGTTGAGTTAAAGGAAAATAAATGAGACATCTGGAAGAGGCATGGCACGTGGAACAAGAAAAATCTACCCCCAGTGAAAGAAATAAAGGTTTCTGTTTGAAATTCCAATTACCTGAAGAAGGCCGGAGCCTACATCTGCTTAAGCGTTGTGAATACGGCAATGAAAATGAGGATAATAATCCGAATAATGTAAATTTAACTGTTGGCACTGGTATTTGAATTGCTTGGATACGGACTTGTAGAGTTTACCATTATTATGAACAGTCACAATCTTTAAATTTAGTTTCTCAGTAAATATTTTTAATCTTAACTATAGGGATTCATTTCCTTCTGATAAAAAAATAACGAAAACAGAAAATGTTTATATACAATCATGAAGCTCTTAGTACCGCATTACCATACGAACTTTATTTACACGTGTGTTAAATAAAGTATGTAAATCCCTATAGTAAGGAAGAATACTCGAAACCATTTGTTTATGATTCATTTATATTCTGTAAAACATGGTTATAGATAATATATGAATCAGCTATAAGTAAATCCTTATTATTTACTATTTTATAAAGTTTGAATCGATTGGCAATTAGTTGATTATTTGCCAACCATTCCAAGGAACAATATAACAAATAAATAGTGTCAATAAGCAATATAATAAATAAATAGTGTTTATTATTTTTTGTTGTCAATTCTCAAGAATAAAGAAAATGTATAAATTTTCATTCATATGTTTAGTTTTTATTACAATTTTAATCATTGCCTTTTAAAACAATAAATATTAGCAAAAGTTGAAAGTAGTTAAAATAATCGCGGTGTCATGAGAAAAATCTCCCCTTTCAATATTTATTCTTTAGCCGGCACAAAGTCCATTTTTGTCCGTTTTTCTTTCTTTGTCAATATAAATCAGAAAAATTATCCCCTTAAAGAAAATAAAGTTGATGACAAGAATATACCTGAATTCATTACTATTATTTTATATGATAAAGTCTTTGACATAGCCTTCATCAGTGTTTCATCCATTAATTTCACCAATTTTTCTACTATTTACGCATTAATTTTACTTGCAACAGTTTATTTTATTTATTAAAGATATTCTTAAATTGAGTAATGTTTTCAAATCTTATAAACGTTTTTTTTTCTGTTGGATTCATGTCTAAGACTGGGAACCATACTATTAATTTAGTGTCTTCAAAATCTTTTGGCAAATCGTTCAATAGGAAACTTTGAGGAATGTGAAGGATCATTTTCTTGGATCATGAATTTTTAGCTGAAAGCTTCTTAATTGTGATCTATGCTACTCAAAATATGCCAAAAACTTATAATTATTCTCTACATTCATCTTGACACTATCACCAAGATTGACTAGATGTATAATTTTAATAAAAGCAATACTAGTTCAAAATATTACATCACCTTCTAAGTTGAGTTAAGTCACTAATTCCATGAAGAATACGGACTCAATGTCAACCATGAAGTTTGTTTAGTATAGCTATTGACGATAAAAATTGAGTAATCAGTTTCCGTGTACTTCTTCAGTTTTACATGTTTCTGTTTGAAAAAGTTTACTCAGTTATTACTCTGATTTCTTGCATGTCATTAACCAAAGTTATTAAAATTCTGACTCTTTTCTTAGTGTTTATACTTGCACACCACTTTTTTTAATTTGCCTAAATCTCTTTTTGTTACTTTCTTTAAACCATTTTTTCTAGTTCATATTTTGTCATTGTCTTCAATTACTTATTTATTTTTAATCTAATCTCTCATACAAAATAATTTATTTTAAATATGTTTAACAAAAACAGAAATTATAAGTTAAAATTCATTTATTATCTAACTATTAGTGTATCCTAGCAATTTTGCCAATATCAGTTAATCATTATCAATTTTATTGAGATGACATTGACTGGCATATCAAAATCTGACGTAGACAGACAGATAGATAGATAGATAGATAGATAGATAGATAGATAGATAGATGTCATTAAATCAGATTTTTTTTATACAAACGCGTTTACTTATTAGAGTAATTAGAAACACAAACGAAAACGTATATTCTTCTACAAAATCAACTGAAATCTTTCAACGTTCAACTACTAGATAACCAGTTGTACCTAAATCATATTACCTGAAAATGAGAAAAGTAAAAATTTTCTTCCTCCTAGAAATGCTATAAAAACTCAAATATTACCTCCACTAAATCATAAAATTGCGGTCAAACCTATAATTCTCCCCTGCTGCTGTACCATATAATCTAGCAATTCCTTTCCTGCGGTTATAAGGAATAATATGGACACTATTATGTCTTCCTACCCTCAGGAAATCATGAATACTCCAGAATAGCAATTTAATGATCGCTTAAATCATAGTAACTTTTAGCTAAATAGAGTAATTGAGTTTTCTTTACTTGGCTTAAAATAGAAGTTTAGAGTACTTAGAACTTCTGTCGTAAACATTGCAATTTATAAACATAATAAAAGTTTAAATACAATTCAAATAAATTTAATACCTATGCATTCAGTAAGAAGTTTCATACAATTATACGAAATAGTAAAGTCAATTAAAACATAATGGGAAAAACTGAACTGACTTATTGCCGGTCATATTTATGATATATTTCCACTGACAGAAATACCTGCTATTGAATATCAATTACTATTGGGTTTAATCATTAAAATATCTCCTACTATTTCAGGCTTGCGATTTGAGCGAAATAAAAGTAAATATCTATACAAATATTTTTAAAAGTCACCAGCTCTTTCCGATTTACAACTAGTTTGCCATTTCAAATTTAATAGAAATAAAAGTTTTGGTAATAATGAACAGAAAAGAAGTGTTAATAAAAATCTGACAAGATCAATTATCTTGATGAACTTCTTTATATTAGCCTAATTGTTAAAAATAAATTCGCTTAATCTTTTTGTGAGAATTAAAGATTACTAATTAAATCTACAGTAGAATTGTTGTAGACAATGTGTTAGAGACAATTTCAGAAAGTTTTTTCTTCAGGGTAATCCGTAGAAAATCCTTATAATCATTGATAGACAGGATCGGTAGAAAATATTCAATGAACAAAAAATTATGCCATCCAGTGTGTGTATATTAATCTATTAATCCATGAAACATAATTAAAATGTTGATTTTATAAATAAAAATTCCAAATAAGGTATGAAATTCATAAATTGGATTATATTATTTTCTTGAATATTTTTAAAAATATAACCAACATTTGTTTAACTAGTTTCAAAAATAACAAAACTTTGATAATTTTCTTTCATTTTCCTTCTTTTATTTATATCTTTTTAATTCTGTTTTACAATTGACTGCTTAAATTCAAAATTGTTGGCTAGAAAAGAGCTTATTCATTTTTAAAAGCCATCGGCTAGAGAATTATAGTAGGTATAGTGTCACGCTGCTTACTCCATCAACTATAAAATAAATTACCTCCCGCGTAAAAAGAGTTACCACGTTATTCCAGCTTTACGGTTTCGTTCAACATGAATTAGTTCATTTGTCAAACATCAAAACAATCTCTAAAAGCACAAGAATCGTTGAGCTAAAATGAAAAGGGAAAAATATGTCAAAACAAAAATAAAGTAAAATAAAAAGCAATGCTCTGTAGAATAAAGATTAAAACTCTTTGTTTTTTTTTGCATGCACTTCAAAACTATTTAAAAATTGCCACTATTAAACAGTCTTTTCTCCGCATCTTCCCATCGAGTTGAACTGCGTTCAGTTAAAAAGCGATCAATCAACAAAGTCGTGTCACGTTCTAAGTTGAGCTTAGAAAAGCGAAATTTTTTCACTTCCCACTCCAGTTCGAATCAAAATCGATAGCCACACAATTTCCAAGACTATTGCTATTTATTCAATCACATTTTAATACGCGGAAGCACTCTGACACTGAAATCACATGGGAGTGAGGAAATCGACGATTTAAAAACCTGCTTGATAGGTGGAAATAGGTGGAAATCAACTTATATTCTTTATTCTGTCAAATTTTCTCGCTACAGTGGGAAATATTCGACAGCTTAAAGCATATAACATCATACAAACGTGTTATACCATTTTGTAGGTAAGAAAAGCATGAATAGATGCCATATTAATTATTATATTTTATGAATACCGTCTATATTCGAGCATAACGCAATTTCATGTACCAAAAAATTTTTGTATTTCTGACCAGGAAATCGTTAGGTTCTATCTTCTTTATGTCAACATCTTTATTACTTTTTCTTTTTCATTTCTCATCGGACGAATTGAACAAAATATCAGCCAAAGACTAATATGTACATATTAATGTATAGACACATATACAGACATAGATATATATATATATATATATATATATATATATATATATATATATATATATATATATATCCAAGTATAGGATTTGAGTATACGTGATAAATTCCAATAACCAACAAATACTATTCTGAAAAGCGTGCTCAATACAGAGTAGAGCAAATATAATTTATTCGAAAATTATAACATAAACATGTTATAAAATCACTACAAAAATAACCATTTTGTTTCAACATTTTATGGTGTCTTATCAAGTGATGGTGTTGAATGTGGAATAGATTCTACATTCAACACCCATCACTTGATAAGAATCCAGACGTGTTGAAACAAAATGGCTATTTTGTAGTGATTTTGTGACATATTTATACTATAATATATATATATATATATATATATATATATATATATATATATATATATACGCTCTATATTTTACTTCCTTTTTCAAAATATTAGTGACAAGATTAATGAAAGATATATCTTGATTTAATCTTTGACGTTCTTAGCATTCGTAGCAAGATTTGTGGTTCTTAATCATTTTTATATTTTAAGATTCATATCAATTCTTTCCAAAAGCTTTGAATTGACACTTCTAAAAATTATATTTGCCCCTTATTACTTATGCTTTTTTAGCCAATTAAAACGTATAATTCAAATGTATAAAAAAAATAATTAAATAAAACCAACTTTATTAATAACACTGGTTTACAAAAACGAAAAAATAATCCGAGGCAAGCAGGTGTTTTTACTAATTTTCATGTGGTGTATTGGAATTTCTGAACAGTTTTTCACCTCTAGATTTTTTGCTTTCACATATCACATTTTTATTAAAAAGATAACTTTTTTAAAGAATTATATTCCTAAAATTTAAAATACAAAAAATACTGGCATTATTGAATGTATATGTATATATGTATACATCTCAAAAACTAAAAATAATGAGTGAAAATGAATTTTATATTTGATATCAGCACCCCAAAATTAGGTTAGAACACATATTTTTATGATTGCCTAAATTTCTTTATAAACCAGTGTAATTAAAGTAAAAATGAACGATTAATTACACTAAAATGTTTCGATGCATCAGTTTGGGAATCAATATTGCAGATATAATGAAGTTTACGGAATGGCGAGATTTCTTATTTTTTTTTTTTTTTTCATTTTACATCTACAGTGACTTCTTCGATAACATATTTCCTTAACAAGGAACATATATCCAAATAATTCAGTACACTTTATATATTGATAATAATCTTATTTTCCTCTTCTAAAGAGACGTCAAGTAGAAACAGATTTAAAACGTTATAGAAAATTTCTACATGAGATCAAGTTGCCATAAAACGTAGAGGAACATTTATTCTAACAACTGTTTCAAATACATTAATGAGTGGAAAGAGTAAAATTAATTACCGTTAATGTAAATTTTATTGTACATGTACATAGAGATATTATACAAACATTATAGTTATTATTATATTTGTATGTTATTTTAGCAGATAGATAAAATTTACAAGTAATTGGTATAAATATAAAGAAATGTCTGAAAGTATTTTTTAATCCTATTTCCCTTCATGACATAATCGATCATGGCTCATGGCTCTCCATAGTTCTCATTTTTTTTTATAATTTCTGAATTACTGACTTCTTGGGAAAGATGGTAAAGTAGCTTACCAATTCCTTTTCCATAGAAACTGTATTTGAAATTTCACATGTAATTTTAATTCATTTAATTTGATTTCTTTCTTGTTTCAACAGATGATAATAAATAACATATTACAGTAAAGTTAAACTCGGCGTGTACAATATGCAAGAAAATGGATATGTGATGATACGTGAGAATACATTGCCATTATTTAATCAACCCTTTCACGTTTTTTTTAACAATACGCTTAAGCTGTTTTCTTGTAAAACATTTTCATTATTCCATAACTTATTCCTACTAAGACTTTTGATGAGACGATTGCTAAATCTCATGCGTTAGGTTTACTGCACTTCTTAGTACAGCTTGAATTCTCTAGTGAAGTGCTGTTATTACTTGGTTAATTGCACGAATTAATAAACTTTTTGATTACTAAGTTTGACTTCTTTTTTTTTTCTTTTGAGTTAGAGCTTTTGACTTCAAGTGTGGTCATTATTGAATCATTTCAATTATTAACTTCACAGTTGTTTTTCGATCATTATATTGTTGTCTGTAGAATGTCTGGTCTTCTTTGTGTTGCCTGAAGTTACGACATCAGCATCATCATTATAATTCTATATCTTATGTATGTTAATTATTTCACCAATGATGATTCAATCACTATAATCCGACCAGTGAGTCTTCTGTCTTTCTTTGAATTTCTTAGGTTAAATGTAATCATTAGTTGAGATGTTTCGATCAATACGTTTCCGTTAAGAGAACGTTTAGTCTTCCATGTGTTGTCTAAAGTTACGAGATCAGTATCATCATTATTATTCCATATCTTATGCTTGTTAATAATTTCACTAATGTTGATTCAATTACCAGAATTCGGCCAGTGAGTCTTCAGTCTTTCCTTGTATGAATATGTTAGGTTAAATATAATAATGTGTGGAATTGTTTCGATCATTACTTTTTGGTTAGTGGAACGTTTGGTCTTCATTCTGTTGTCTGAAGTCTTGACGTCAGTATTATGATTATTATTCCATATATTGTGCA